GGAAAAACTACAAGGGACTGCGATGAACTCGGAAGAACACGAAAGAATCTTGAAACCCTAAGTGCGGATCTAAGAAGTGAAAAGAAGAGAACTTACAGTCACAGGTCTTCTGTGGAGGTCGCCGCTGTTCTCTGGATCGGTTCAGGTTGATGCAGCGGCCAACGTCGACGGAGACGGAGGTGAAGCGCGGCGGTGGCGAAGCTCGAGCAGCAGGGGGTGCGCGAGAGAAAGAAGACGAAGCGAGAGAGGAGAATGAGAAGGCCGAGGCATGCCTATTTATAAGGAAGATGTGAACAGACGGGCGCGAAAATCGAGGAAAGCCGAATAATGGTTACCTAGCTACACAGACCCCTCGATTCTCGGGAAGCATTAAAGATAAAAGATCCGTTGGGAGATGACGTCATGAAAGTTATTTGCATTTTCAAGAGATGACGTCACGACGGGTTACGAAAACTTCAACGAAGATAAGAAGATGGATTTTTGTCTAAGTATTGAAGATTGACAAAGAATGAAACTCAAAGTCAACCTGGGGCCTAATGTTGGGGATATTATTATCAGACATGACCCGCCCAAGAGGGGCCGGGTCAGCCCCAATGGCGGGTTATGCTAGAAGCCCAGTAAACATTCAAGACGATAGTTTATTAAACCTTATAGAAGGCCCAAAGGCCTAGAGGCGGCTTAAGGCCCGATATTGTAAACCACCGTATGTAAGGAAAGACTTGTAAAGAAAGGCATGTAAAGGAAGTCACCGAGCCGGACACGATTATGAGCCGGCCGGGACTCTGTAGGCCACCAGGCGTCAACCCATGTATATAAGGGGACGACCCGGTGGCGGCTTAGGGCAAGAAACAACAAATCGATAACCAAGTCGGCGAGTTGAGCCTCTTGGTGATCGAAACTCGAGCAATACCAATCCCAACTAGACGTAGGCTTTTACCTTCATCGTAAGGAGCCGAACTAGTATAAAATCCTCTCGTGTCCTTTGTCCCGATTAAACCCTTTAAGCTTCCTAGTGCGATGGCCCTACGACTAAGTCCTTGCTCTAGGACATCTGCCGTGACAATTCCACGACACTACTCATGATGTGGGGTCTGGTAACCAGTCCCATGTGGTCACATAGAAGAGGACTTTTTATTGGGGACAATTACATTCTAGCCTAGGGCACACCCATTTATTTTGTCTCTAATTTCAAAAAACCCTTGATCCCACCCAAGATCGTTAGCTCGTCTTATGTTTTTTCCCTTTCGGTATGATTTCATCCCACCAAAGGGCTACGAGCATTATAGTGACACATTTTTTGGACCACTTTGCCCCTCCTTGTAAAATCCAAAACAAACCGATGGAATTGCCATTTACCCAACCAATAAAGAAAGGAAAAAAAAGAAAAACATGTCACATATGTGGGACCCTTCAAGAAAAAAAGTCTCTCTCTCCAACAACGTCGGAGCCAGTAGTGACACACACCACCAGCAGCGAGTGCGGCCAACTCTAGCACGCTGTATGCACCAGCAGCAACACGCCACCTCCATCGTTGCATCCTCCTCCTCCAGAGAGCTAGGAGTTTGTTCCACCGAAATGCGGGCCATGCGCCTTGGCTCCCAATTGTGCACTTCTGCCGCTATTTCGTGGTAACGCAAGGCTCTTCCATCACCCACAGGTGGAGCTTGGATGTGCATCACCGTGAGCATAGGGTGTGACGAAGCACAACCATGCTCCCTTTGGTGGAGCATATCAACACCGAAAATAGAAAAAGGGGAAAAGGATGAAAAATAAGGGCGACCCCTTCTCCTTCCGCCACATGTCGAACACAAAGCCGAAGCGCACCAGAGATCGACCTCTGCGCGAAGTCGATCACTTGTCGCGTGCAAAAAGGGACGTTGAATCACCCCACAAGGGTTATTCTTTAACTAATGATTTTGCCTCTTTCATTGGTTGAATTTTATTTGCATTTATTGTACATATTCTCCAAGAGCTTGTAATAATCTAACCCACACTCTAACAACGTCTGGCTCGTGTCGGTGAACTTCGAAATGATGTGATGGTCCGACGGTCATCGTGTCGATTGCGCCAATGTGATATTGGAATCGGGTGTTCCATTTCATAAAAGAAGGGGTGTCTCCTAAATAGTGATTACCATTTTTCTGACCTTTTCCTTTTTATGATAAAATGATTTTTTACCAGTTCAGTTTATTTCTCCATCTTATAATAGTAGGCCCAAAATCACATTCCAAGCCCACACTCGACAGCCCAACAAGCGCAACACACACACCACCGCCCGGATCTTCTCCCCTCTCGCTCCCCGTTTCGGCCGAGCTCAGCGAGCGCCAGGACCAGCCGCCAGAGACCCTTTCTCCTCTTCGTTTCCGCGGCGCGCCAGATCTCGCACCCCTTCTCCGGCGGCCGGCGCGGTGAGCCCTTTCTCCCCTTCCTCCGTTGCCGCCCTCCGCGTGTCACCCTTCGCCGCGCGGAAGGCCAGCTCCCGCCGGAGATCCGCCGCCAACATCCTCGTGGTGGGGCATCAATCTTGCGGGTTTGTTTGCTGCGCGGCGGAGTAGCATATTTTACCAAAAGCAGTTTATTTTCCGGAAATTTCGTTAGGTCGGCCCCTGGGTTAACTAGTGAAGACTTGGGAGTGTGAGATCGATGCGCTGATTGACACCTGATGAAGTATTAGTTGAGGTGGTCTAGGAGGGCTTCATGTCCCTTGCCATGGGTGAGGGTTTTAGGTTTTAGGGTGGGCATCTGCTGCTCACACCCCGCTGTCATTTCAAAGCATTTGATTTAGCAGATAAATTGCCCTGTAGGTCTGGTTCATAATCTTGGCCCGTGAGATTCATTACGGCCATTCACTGGGTGAGCTGTAATGTTCCGGCTCGTTGGGTGACTCCCTAGCCAGAGATTGAATCCCCCAGTTCATGTACTTTTCCTATCAGTCATGGCGAAGGGCCGAGCTCTCTTCTCATGGAATAGAGGAACTTATGTTGCTCGCTCTTGTCTATTGCTGTATGGAATTTCGGAACTGGGGGACGCTAAAGTATGTATTTCTCTAGGTAATGTGAGAAAGGGTTTGGTGGAAAATAGTCTTCTTTTCTGGCAGCTGAGTTATGCTGCGCATTTAGTTCCAAGTGTGATATTCCATTTCTCTAAATCGTCAGTTACCATTACTTGTCCACTTCTGTTTAGCTGCTCTTATTTAGAAAACGACACATATGCTTCTTCTTGCGCGTTAGAGGTTATTTATTAATTAAAAATGCATTTAGTTACGCAGTACATTTCCATGGATCATATTTAGTGTTAATTTCGTTTTTGTTCTTCTGCAGGGCAGCCAATCTTTAGTTTCTTCTCCTTCCCTTGCTATATTTTTGTGCCAATACCTAGTTGACAGTAGGATGAGTTTGTCTTCCATAGCAAGACGACTATGTTGTTCAAGACAGTCATCCACAAGTCGACTTTCAGTAGTTTTGGCTCGTCTGCACAGCACCGAGGCCGCAAAAGACACTGGTGCTAAGAGGTACAAGTATCCTGAAGTCTATGACCCATATGGGCCTATGCCACCAGCATCAGAGAAAGTTGTGGGTCTAGCGGACCGCATTGCCGCTCTTCCTCCTGAGGAGATCAAGCAGATAGCTCCAGCTCTCCTTCTCAGGCTGAACCAGCCAGCACCACAGGCAATTTCTGGCCAGGGTTTTAGTATGGGTTCTCAAGGTGGTGCAGGTGCTGGCGCCGCGAAGTCTGAAGAGAAAAAGGCTGAGAAGTTAGTATTCGATGTCAAGTTGGAGAAATTTGACGCTGCTGCAAAGATTAAGATTATCAAGGAGATCAGAACGTTTACTGATTTGGGGCTGAAGGATGCAAAGGAGCTGGTGGAGAAGGCCCCTGTCATTCTAAAGCAGTCACTCACGAAGGAGGAAGCGGAAGCGATCATCGCAAAGATCAAGGCAGCTGGTGGTGTTGCTGTGATGGAGTGAAGAATCAGATTCTGGACATCACAAATCTTTTTTCTCTTTCTGATTTTGTTAGCATGATGGAGCATTCGATGTCAGAGGATCTATATTCTGTGACAGGTAACGGAAGCGAGATGCGAACTAGATATTTAGTTGCTACGTTGGTGTTCTAGAATAAGACTTTCTTTCAGTATCACATATCTCTTTCTTGACGGATCACCTGTTGATACTACAACTGGGCGGAAGAAATGTCTGACACCATTTTTATGAATGTGATGATGATACCTTTTGTTTGTGTCGGTGGTATGTATTGTGAATCATTTTAAATCACGGCCTTTTGGTGTTTGATTTGAAACGCCTTGCGATTTTTATAGCGAACCTGTAGCTACAAGGAAATGTTCCATATATGTCACATCCTGTTCTGCTTTGCCCCAATACTTACCAGGAAAATATTCTTAGCATATCCTCATCCAGCCTACTGATTTGAAGTTCCTTTTGAATAAGCTATCCGTTTTCATATAAACGAATCCGTTTCGGCAGTACATGAAAGTAAAAGAAGATGAATGTCCCAGCCTCAGTCCGTCTTCCATGCATGAAGAAAGAAGCTGTAATCCGCCGGGTCGCCCGGAATGCCACTCCCGCTCTCCAACCCGGCCTCGTCGCTGTCGACCTCCGGCGGAGCACCTGGCTTGAAGGCGAAGACTGCCTGCGAGCCCGGGCCGGCGAAGATCCAGTCGTGCACATCCCAGAGCACCTGCACCGGCGACTGGTCGACGAGCACCGTCTCGTTGCCCCGGAACTTCCACTGAAGGTTCTTGACCTGCACCAGGGCGCGGCCGTCCACCGTGATCGCCATTTCCGGTTCCCTTGGCCCGGCTAGCGAGACCTCGATGACAATGTCGCGATCCTTCCTGCTGGCGTCGAGCCACGCCCGCGCCACGAAGCTGCGCCTGCCGAAGACGGTCTCCCGGCGGCACAACGGCACGGCGTCCTCCAGCGACGGCCGGCACTTGCTCCGCTTGTAGGCGTCCTTCTTGAGGTCGCCGAGCGTGAGCACGACCTGCTCCTGGCTCACCAGCGCGACGAAGTACCCGCTGGCCGGCTCCGGGCTGCTCGCCGGGAACTTGGCCGACCGGAGGTCCCAGAAGACGTCCAGGCGGTGGCCGTCGAGGAAGAAGCTCTTGAGGCCCTTCTTGCTCCAGAACGGCCACGGCTTCAGCTCCACCTTGAGGCTGAGCGTCCCGTCGTCGCCGCTGCCGCTGCCGGTGCCGTCGCCGTGGCGATCGATGGTGATGGTGAAGGACTGGTTGATGATGTTCTTGTTCCAGACGGCGGTGACGAGGTGCTCGGTGCCGTTGATCCTGACAAGGTACACCGTCATCGTGGAGCACTGCACCGTCGCCGAGGAGGACGACGCCACCTTGCCCGTGATCGAGTCGTCGGAGGCCGTGGGCCCATGGACGCCGCCGCGCTGCTCGTTCCTGGACGGCTCGCAGGATTTGGAACGCTTGTGCATCTCGCCGAAACAGATCAGATCAGATCGGCCCCCTCTCCCTATGCTAGCTAGGACAAGAGGAAACACATCGGCGTGGAACGCGCCGCTTGTCGCGTCAACAGCAATGGCGATCGATCAAGAAGAAGGAGGCTCCGCCATGCTCGATCGTCATGGGCTGCATGTACGTGTGGGATGCCAAATTAAACAAATATAGAAAATATAACAATCAAGCGGACAACGAAATAGTACCAAAAAATTCGGCGATTGATTTTTACGGGCAGCATGCAAGAGCGACAAGGGCATCGTAAATCGAACAAAACAAAACAAAAATGCACGTACGTGGCTTGGCGTTCGCAGTCGGATGCGGGCGCCTATCTGGTCTCGAGAACACGAAATTGATCAATCGTGGGAGGAAAATGGAGAAACTCCGGCTTGGGCGGAGGCTATGGAGAAAGGGGGTTGACGGGAACGAAGAATAATTGGACGGTTTTGCCAAAAAAGATTTTGACGGCCAACGATCGCGCGTCGTTGTCAGCTGGGCACTATTTATGTGGTGGTGGTGGTGGTATATGCACTGGACGCGCCATGAAAATAGAACAGGGAGAGAACACGAGCTAAGAAATGGTCGGTGCCCATGTAGCCATGCAGAGGGAGTGAGAGCCCCTTCTTCTGTGAGTGTCATTTGGGAAGTGGTATGGAGTTGAACAATCTTCTTCTTTTTTCGAAACGGGGACAATCTTTTTCTGCACCATGATGCCAACAACAAAACATAGTGTTCCCTGCAACAACAAAAAAACAGAAAGCATAGAGTAGTGTATGTGATTGTTTGGCATCGTGAGAGAGCATGCCAAAACCGTATCTTCATGGGTTAGGTTCTTTGTGATGGAACCAGCCCACCAGGGTTTTGCATTGGTGCTCGTATTTTTTTGATTTTTCGTTGTGTGGGAGAAGACGTTTCCATTAACTATGGAGTCGCCTGTGGTGACTCTTGTCAATCTCCAGATGTGATGCCGGCCCAGTGTATTGAAGGTGCTCATAGAGGTAGCACGTGCGTGTGTGTGTGTGTGTAAGGACGGCAATGAGTAGGGTATGAGAAGGGTAGAGCAATACCATACCCATACCCATCCAGTTAATGGGTAAAAAATTCTACCCATACCCGTTCCCATCGGTACAAAACTTTACCCGTGACCATACCCGATGGGTATCCATACCCACTGGGTACCCAACGAGTAGATCAAATAGTACACGAATTATTCATAATTTTACATTCAGTCCATAGCACATTTGACAGTTTTTTTTATCTCAACTCAATAACAGGTAGATGAGTACAAGACAATTATCTCAATTCAAATTGACAATTGGTGACAACTTTAACATAGGTTCACAAGCTCACTACAAACTTCACGAAATAACATTAGTCCGACAAGTAAGATGTCAGTATAGATGGGTAGCGTATGTGTAAATTCATGGGTACAACGCTATACCTATACACTATCCATGACTTAACGGATAGGGAATGGATACTACCAATGGGTATAAAATTGTGCCCATACCCTGCCCATGCAGGTAAGGTATCCGTGGGTACCCGTACCCATGAGTAAAATTGTCATCCTTAGTTGCCGCCGCCGCACAGGCCCGCGCCGCCGCACCGCAGCAGCCCGCACGTGGTCTCGTCGCCACCTGCCGGTGCTCGCCCATCGTCGCCCGCGCTGGCCGTGCCCATCGCTGCTCCAGCGCGCCACCCCTGGCCGAGGCCTCCCACGGTGTTGGGGTGAACAACCAAGGCCACAACCGGCTAATGGCCCACAAGTATAGAAGATCAGTCGTAGTCCTTTTGATAAGTAAGAGTGTTGAACCCAACGAGGAGTAGAAGGAAATGACAAGTGGTTTTCATCAAGGTAATCTTATGCAAGCACTGAAATTGTAAGTAACGAGTAGTTTGATAGCAAGATAGTTTGTAACGAGCAAATAATGGTAACGGTAAATAAAGTGCATCAAGTTAGCCCAATCCTTTTGTGTCAAAGGACAGGCCAAAACGGTCTCTTATAATAAGAAAAACATTCTTGAGGGTACACCAAAATTTCAACTAGTCACTTCATCATGTTGGTTTGATTTGTGTTCTCTACTTTGATAATTTGATATGTGGGTGGACCTGTGCTTAGGTGTTGTTCTTACTTGAACAAACCTCCTACTTATGATTAACCCCATCGCAAGCATCCGCAACTACGAGAAAAGTATTAAGATAAATCTAACCATAGCATTAAACTTTTGGATCGAAATCGGTCCCTTACGAATAGCCCGTAAACTAGGGTTTAAGCTTCTGTCACTCTAGCAACCCATCATCTAATAACTACTCCACAATGCATTTCCTTAGACCCAAATATGGTGAAGTGTCATGTAGTCGACGTTCACATGACACCACTAAGGGACTCACAACATACATATCATCAAAATATCGAACACATATCAAGTTCACATGATTACTTGCAGCAAGATTTCTCCCGTGACCTCAAGAATAAAAGTAACTACTCACAAATGATGATCATGCTCATGATCAGAGGGGTATTAAATAGCATAATGGATCTGAACGTACAATCTTCCACCAAATAAACCATATAATAATCAACTACAAGATGTAATCAACACTACTAGTCACCCACAAGCACCAACCTAATGCTCCGGTACAAAGATTGAACACAAGAGATGCAGTAGGGTTTGAGAGGAGATGGTGATGGAGATTGCCCTTTCCAAGATGGGAGAGTTGTTGGTGATGATGATGACGATGATTTCCCCCTCTGGGAGGGAAGTTCCCCCGGCGGAATCGCTCCGCCGGAGGGCAAAAGTGCTCCTGCCCAAGTTCCGCCTCGAGACGACGGCGCTTTGTCCCGAAAGTCCTCTCCTTATTCTCTATAGGTAAAAATGACTTATATACCAGAAGAGAGGCACCAGAAGTGGGCCGAGGAGGGAACAACCCACCAGGGCGCGCCCAGGTGGGTTGTGCCCACCTAGTGGGCCTCCTCTGATAGCTATTTGCTCCAGCATTTTTAATATATTGCAAAATAATTCTTGTAAATTTTTAGCTCATTTGGAGATGTGCAGAATAGGTAACTCTAACGTAGCTTTTTCAGGTCCAGAATTCCAGCTGCCGGCATTCTCCCTCTTTGTGTAAACCTTGCACATTATGAGAGAAAAGGCATTAGAAATACTCTAAAAAGCATTATTATGCATAAAAGCATTATAAATAACAGTAGGAAAACATGATGCAAAATGGACATATCAACTCCCCCAAGCTTAGACCTTGCTTGTCCTCAAGCGAAAACCAAAATCGAAAAATATGTCCACATGCTTAGAGAGAGAGGTGTCGGTAAAAACAAAAATACGGACATAGAAACATCATGTAAATTATTATAACAGCAACAAAATTTAACATAAAACTTTGTCATAGGACTTTCATCATATAACTTCTCATGAACAAGTAACAATTCATCACAACATCGAAGTATAAATCATAAACTTTATTAAAACCAACAAACTATGTTCTCAGTCAACTCTGCAACTACAATTCATCATCTTTTCAGGAAGGGTCACGTATCGGAGCCTTTTGGCAAGTCCACATACTCAACCGTCATATAGTCTTCTATGATTGCTAACACTCACCGCATACACATGAGCAAAAAGTTTCAACCGGACACATAGGAAGATAGGGGCTTATGGTTTCGCCTCCCAACGTATTCACTGTACTTCTCCAATGTATCTATAATTTTTTATTGTTTCATGCTATTATATTATCTATTTTGGATGTTTTATATGCATTAATATGCTATTTTATATTATTTTTGGGACTAACTTATTAACCCAGAGCCTAGTGCCAGTTTCTGTTTTTCCTTGTTTTTGAGTTTTACAGAAAAGGAATATCAAACGGAATAAAACTTTCGCCATGATTTTTCTTAGACCAGAAGACACACGTAAGACTTGGAGATGAAGTTAGAGGAGTCCCGAGGAGGCCACAAGCCTCCAGGGCGCGCCCTGGGGGGGCACGTCCCCTCGCTTGTGGGCCCCTCAAAGGTCCTCTAACCATAATTCTCAGCCTATAAATTTCCAAATATTCCCAATTGACCAAAAGTGTCCACTAAAATGCTTTTCCGCCGCCGTAACCTTTTGTACCCGTGAGATCCCATCTTGGGACCTTTTCCGCCACCCTGCAGAGGGGGATTCGATCACGGAGGGCTTCTACATCAACCCTATTGCCCTTTCGATGAAGCGTGAGTAGTTTACCATAGACCTATGGGTCCATAGCTAGTATCTAGATGACTTCTTCTCTCTCTTTGATCCTCAATACCATGTTCTCCTTGATGTTCTTGGAGATCTATCCGATGTAATCTTCTTTTGCGGTGTGTTTGTCGAGATCCGATGAATTGTGGATTTATGATCAGATTATCTATGAATATTATTTGAATCTTCTCTAAATTCTTATATGCATGATTTGATATCTTTGTATTTCTCTCTGAATTATCGGTTTGGTTTGGCCAACTAGATTGGTTTTTCTTGCAATGGGAGAGGTGCTTAGTTTTGGGTTCAATCTTGCGGTGTCCTCACCCAGTGAAAAAGTAGGGGTAGCAAGGCACGTATTTGTATTGTTGTCATCAAGGGTAAAAAGATGGGGTTTTCATCATATTGCTTGAGTTTATCCCTCTACATCATGTCATCTTACTTAAGGCCTTACTCCGTTCTTATGAACTTAATACTCTAGTGCATGCTGGATAGCGGTCGATGTGTGGAGTAATAGTAGTAGATGCAGAATCGTTTTGGTCTACTTGACACGGACGTGAGGCCTATATGCATAAGCATTGCCTTGGATATCATCATAACTTTGCACTTTTCTATCAATTGCTCGACAGTAATTTGTTCACTCACCGTATTATTTGCCTTCAAGAGAGAAGCCTCTAGAGAAATCTATGGCCCCCAGGTCTATTTTCCATCTTATATTTTCAGATCTATAAATCAAAAATACCAAAAATATC